GATATATGTAACATACAAAGTGTTTCAAAAACTGTAACCATTTCAGTCTTAGGTGTAAGGGGGGGAGATCTTCTCAGTTGGGGGCATCAGAAAAAGCTGGTCTTGCTCACTGGGCAACAGGCAATGTCCAACATAATATCTGTATAATGAATCAACCATTCATGAGCACACACAAAGAAAAGAGTGTACATTTATCTCAGAAAAGAAGATTTTTCTCATTTTCACACATGTTAACATTATGGGTTTATAGATTTCAGTATCTCACTAACAGCACATCACTGGTTCATTCTCTAAGCTACAGTACTACAACACTGTAACTAAAACAGACACTTTGATACTTTATAGGACAGAGATGTTGCTGGGTAGTTTACTTGAAGGTTGAGATGTGCATGTTGAAATTCTGTTATGAGATAAATTGGTTAGCAATTAATATAAAAAATCAACTGTAAAGTTTCTAGTGTGGACAAATGAAAGTACTTAAATGATACTCAACTGCTACTGAAATTCCAGTACATAAGTTTAAAAAACAGAGCGAGAGAGAGAGAGCAAAAGCAACAGCCTAGCTTTTAATGTGTAGCTAAGATACCGTTGTTACATTACCTATGCTTTCATCTACTTTTTAATTCTGCGGTGCTTTAAATTTTAATAACTGACTATAGAATTCACTGTTCCGGTTATTCTAGGGGTTATCTCGATGTGGAAACCAATGTTCTTAACACAATGTGCAGAATGTTCATTGCATGTACTTTAACTTATCTGATATTATAACAATTTCTTTCAATTTTGAAATGAATATGAATATTCACTATTCTTAAATTTGCAGAATTGGGCAAACAAAATATAAAATCTTCATTAACAACAAAAGAGGGGACTTAAGTATTACTCTCATATAATTCATATGAGTATTTAGGATTTGCAGTATACTGTTTCAAGTTAATTCAGGTATCACAGATAAGGATAGAGGGCCCCTAGAAGAAGTCTTTCAGAGGCAATTGTCTTCAGTCCAGCAAGCCTGAATACAATCCATATGTAATATGAAAAATATTTATAAATCTGAAATAAAGACAAACTATGTTTAAAGCCTTCAAAAATATATTTTTCTCCTAATATGGCAGTGAACTGTAACCTGAAACAAATCCTTTCAAAATATGCAGTAACACATTATCTACATTCTTGAGTTCTATTCCAGCAGGAAGACTGGCATGACATCAAGGAACAACAAATAAATTAGGAGCATTACTGGGTCCAGTCAAAAATAGTTTTGCTTGAAACATATTTGCAGCAGATCTTGAAGCAATCCCACATAAATCAACTCAGGGATCTTGTCTGAAATGTGATGTCAGCAACTAGCAACTATGAGTATATAGCAGTCTTATCTACACTCAGTGAACCCTTACTATGCCATTAGTTATTAGAGAACATTTTCCATTAATTAATGAAAAGCCTCTGAAATGTAGCAATTCATTTTCTCAGCTTCATGGCTAACAGAAAATATTAAATCTTTAATCCTTCAACTTGGCTACAGAGTTCTTACTATTACAAACCAATTTCTAAAGAAAATTATTATTAAACTCCTCAACAAAATTTTAAGCAATGGATATAAAAATAAAAAAAAATGTGAACGTTTCTTTTTTCAACTGAGCAAAATATTAATAAATACAATGCACCAAATTTTCACCTTCTTATTTAACAAACACTGACCTTACAGGAAATGAAATATCCATCTTTTTGTTTAGGAGTGAGTTGAGTGAGTGATATCCTTTGAAGAATTTGTCTTATATAAATAAATGGCAATGTTAATAAACATTTACCTTTTAACCGTTTTTTATTAGCAGATTTTTTAAATTTATTGCAAATGGGTTGCTTTTAAGGAAACTATAAAAGGACAACAGCCATCCATTAGGTTCAATAGTTGTAATTGTCCTTAAAGTGTCTGTAACTCAAGAAATAGCTTCTTTTTACCTCACCATGTCCATATCACATGACATAAAATCCATAAAATCCACATGCATTCATGTGAATAAATGTCACACAGACATTACCAATCACACGAACAAAGGGGTTAAAATTTACTTCCCTCTGCTTTTCTACAGAATGTGTTTATATGAACATATATTACCAAACTCATGGAGTTAAAGGTTAATGTCTATGTGACTATGTACTGTGAAAAGTTGTCACTGACAGTTTTTCAGGTTAAATGGTATAAAGACACCTTAACCCGCACTCTGTTAAACCTGTACCTGTACAATGCAGTGCACAATATTTATGAATTGACCTATTTCCAAATTTACCGTGTTATTTAAATGTAAATAAAAAGGACATTATCTGCAGCAAAAGCCATGAAATTTAGAAGAAAATTCGTAAGATCACAATAGTCTACTTGTAAATGCCTATTGTAAGAATCATTTCAAAACAAATACTAATCAGTTTGTTTGTATGTGTGAATAAATGAACTTTGGGGTATATATATATATATATATATTCAAAAAGCAATTTAAAAGTATTGTCGCTGAAATTCAAACATGAATTTATCCATGTTATTAAACATTATAATGATCAATGGCAAAGCAAGGGTCCACTGCAGCGACTGAAATCACCAAATATTTCTATTGTAATTCAATACTACATGGAATCAAAATATTCCATATTACCTACATGTTGAGAACATCTGCTTATATTATACTGTGACAAAAATATTTCTTAGGGTAAAAATATTATGCAACTGTTTTATTATAAAACATTTTATTAATGTTCAGCATCATTTTAAAATTTCCCGTGGCAAAGAAACATCTCATACATACATACACACACACACACACACACCCACAATACAACTGACACCTCAAATATCATAACAATATAACCACAGACACAGAACAGTACTAGTCAAGTGACTGCTTTTAAGCATGATTATAGAAGTGGGATGAATATGGGTATGGAAGAAGTTCAGTCCACACTTTGCAAGTATCAATGAAAGAAGTTAAAAATGAGTACTTCAACTCATCTGAAATGAGTGAAATTTCATTACATGAAAGAAAATGTTTGAAGTTTGTTACATATATACTGATGATACCTAGAACAATAGAAGTATATTTTTCCTGAAACTGAGATACTTTCATCAATAAATCATCTACATAATAAAGAATATAAAAATAACTTTTCTACCTTTCCCATTACATTTTTGTATTATTTTGTTTCGTGTTTTCTATAACAGTGTACAATTTAATAATACTGTGAAGTTACTTGCGCATATCTTCCTCTTCGTCCTGAAAACTTTGGAAAATGTTCACAAATGTTTCCGTTAAAAATGAACATGGTCTGTGAAAAGAGTTCTTCAAGTCTTATGTCTATAAAGAAATGCTATTACTGTGATTAAAAATATGGAGTACATACATACATTTCATTTCACAAGTCCAAAACAAATGGACATGAAGGTTGTCATATCAAAAAAATACAAAAAATTTAAACAAACACATAGATAACAGAATAATTAAAACTAATTGTTTATGTTACCCTCCACATATTCAGAAACTGTATAAAAGGAATTATTCATGAGATATAAAGACAGCCTATTTTTAAAATTAATTCTATCCTCTTTAAGGCTTTGAATGGTTATGGGCAATCTGTTGAATAGTTTAATGGCAGTAAACATAGTACCTTTCTGAAAAGCAGAAAGATTCAAGTTTGGCAAATATAATTGCTTTTGATCTCTTGTATTCAAACCATGAACATCTAAACCTAAACAAAATTTAGTTTGATTATCAGTCACAAACATCATCAACGAGGGAATGCATTCACATGACAATGGCAGTATATTCAATTTCTTAAGAAGATCCCTACATAAGTCTCTAGGTCCCACTCCAGATATAATCTTTTTTTTTGTGTGATTTAAAAACTCTAACATTATTCGTTGAGTTGCCCCAGAAAATGATTCCGTACTTAAGACTAGAGGGGAAATAAGAAAAATACACCATTTCTAAATTTTTTTTACTCATAAAATAAGATAAACTTCTAATTGCAAATATAGCTGAACTAAGTTTAAGGAGAATATACTCTACATAACTCTTCCAATCTAAATTCTTATCAATATGCAGACCCAAAAATTTTATCACAGGAACTTCATTCATAAACATATTCTCGCTAGCAACTGCCAGAGATTTATATGACTGTTTTAGAGCAAATCTAATATTTAAGGCCAACTTATTAGCTGTGAACCAATTTACAATAAGAGACAGTGTACCCATGACTTTATGCTTAAGCTCAGCATGATTATTACCGGTAACCAAAATACTGGTATCATCAGCAAAAAGAAAAACTTTAATGTAAATAATAAATAGAAGTGGTCCCAAAACCGACCCCTGAGGAACCCCTTGCTTAACTCTTTCCGAAGATGATAAATAGTCCTGACTATCATTAGCTTTAATGTACACTCTCTGTAGTAGACAGGTACTACTATCTTCTGACTTAAACAAAGGTCGTTTCATCTTCCACTAGAATAATGATGTGTGTAAATTTAACAATTATAATTTGAATGCTACATGCTGATATAATAATACAGTAACTGGCCTGCTAAATGATTTCTAGTGATAAAACATTCTGCTACACAATAAGCAAGCACGTTTCCCCAACGAGCCAACAGCACCCTGAAAACATCAAAATAAAAATAATACCTGAAATGTGATATTTTTCAAGAACTGCACAAATTGGGATTAGATTACAATATCAGGATATATAATATGAGAAAGAACACAGAAGGGTAAAGAAAGTCACTCCTGAAGAAAAACCAAGGGTTTGGAAAGAAAGTCACTTAAATCCATTCACCATGATGTACAATAAAACAGCAGGCATCACACATCTGAAGCATGATCTCAATACAGAAGAGCTTTGTAGAGTAATTTCTGGAAAACATACTTTTCAATTATACATTTCTCACACACAACATATCACACCATATCCCACTTCCCACTTCCCACTTCCATGGCTGTTTGTACCCAGCTTACCTTGACCCTCTGAAGGTCGATGGGATTCATAATAGACCCCTGGAAGAATTCAACTGTAGTAAAATGCCGCTTGAACAGGCCTTCAAGCTCCAGGTCTGGTGGTTTTCTGCCAATCATATGATACGACGAAACCCAACCAGCCAATCACAGTACACCACCAACCAATAACAACATACAAGGGAAAGAAAAAATAATTAATGTGAGCTACTAACCAACAGACAACAGAAGAATGGTAACTGATCATGTCTATGCAATGAAGAGAGTAGTTTCCTTCCTCAGCATGATTCATTGCATACCATGAGCTGTTCCTAGGAGAAAAGAACTTGTCCTCCATTGCAGAAATAAAAACCGCTACAGAAATGTTAAAGATGTTCAGATATGATTAAGTTAATCATTGCACGCTGTGTGTAGGAAAGATGATGAATGACAGATTTTAATTTGATATAACAGGGCTATAGGTAATTTGGTAAGTTTGTGTATATGATAGTATGCTACTGCTTTTGGCCAGCTATAACTAAAACACCTACTATAGCCAAGACAGTCCAAATGTTGTCTGTTGTAGACAAGTGTCTTCGGCACTGTTTGACAACATTTGGACTATGATGTTACATAGCTATATATCATTATACCATTACTCATCTCATCAAATTACACCTCTACCCCTCCAACAGCAAAACATTTCTTTTATACATAATTTAACCATCAAAGATGAGATTAAATATCACCATACCAAGCTTTAGCAGTGTTAGTGAGTTAACCTGTTCCTCTAACACACTTTATATCTGATCATCTCTAAGAGAAATATTCTAGAAAGGAAGAATGCATTAATAAATGTCATGCAAAATCTGTATGTTTGGGATATAAACAAATGACTAAAGAGCTAAACTAGACTGCAACATGAAGGTCATCCCAATAAAGGACAAGTACAAGCCACTTTTCCAGGAAATCTATCATTCACATGCAAGTATGAAAACAGTATTTTAATTCTTTCTCTTTCTATAATATATTTTAAATACATTATTTTCAAACCATTACCTTGGTGCATGTATACCAAGTTCCTCATTAAAATGTACATGCTAAAAAAATTTTACAACACTTAGTTATGTTAATTTAAAATTTGTAATTCAATTCACAAGTCTAGGAAGTTTTGCCTCAACTGACTCAAAGAGTTGATGTGTCTGCATTTGACAAAACCTTTATATAAGTAGGTCTGGTAGAGGTACAAGTGTCTTTGAAAGCTCAGTCTGTGATCTGGTACACTAAAACAATGTTTATGTAAGATGTAAAACTTTCACATTGGCTATATACAATGAAGTGTTCTAAAGCAGTCACATGAAGACAGAGATTGCACACATTGGAGACTTCATCATTCTGCCTCTATCATCAGAGTGGTGTGAATGATTTGTCTGTCCTTTGTGTACACATACACCTCAGAGCTGAGTGTCTTTGTCCACACTCAGACTGCTGAAAGAACTGTGGGCAGAATCAGGTGATCAGGCAACATATAGCCCATGTTACATAACCTGCAATATCTAGAATGCTACTTATCACGGGTCCTTCTTTTTACTGTTTCTTGATAGCTCTGACTCACTGGATTATGTTGGAGCACCATGAAGAAACAATGAAAAGAAGGATCATGGTTCTGATTAACCACCTTTGATGTCAACCTGCCTGTCTGTTCCTTTGAAATACTTGTACCCACTTACAAGACACAATTTGAACATTCACTGTTGAACAAACCTGAAAACTCATACAGAACAATATGTTGACGGCTTTGCAAAGCATGACAGCATTTCCAGAAACATAAAGTGGTATGACTTGCCCATCATATGGTTTATTTGCAAGGGAGCAGAAAGAATGAACTAATATGCAAGCAATAACGATAACAACAACTATGATAAAGAGGCAAATTCTAGATATGTATATATATGCAATTGCCAACTGATGCGATCCCAGCATTCCAGCTAGCCAGTCAAAACTGAGGCAGCCAAAAAACAAATGTTGATAAGGGGAGAGGCCTAGAGCCCAACGCATGATGCCACGGTCCCAGATGTGCCACGCACGAGTGTACGGTGTAAGGTTAGGTCAGGTTAGGTTTACCTTCACTCTCTCTAAGTCTACAGCATTCATCATTGTTCCCTGAAAAAACTCCACAGTTGTGTAGTGACGCTTGAGCAGCCCTTCCAGCTCCAGGTCAGGCTCTTTCCTGCAATACAAGGTGAGGGTCAGCCCCACTATGCACTCAGGCCCACATGCCTGATGTTACCCTCTCTTACAGTGACCAGACCGCAACAACATTAACAGTAGCAAGATTCAGTCTCAGTTGTTAACCTCAATCAGGTACGTTTGGCAGATTATAAATAAAAATAATTTGGACAATTGCAATTTACTTATTCCAGAACAGAATTATTTTCTCAGGCAAAGATTTCAGTTTTTATGCATGGGTCACTAAATTGTATGTTTTGGACCTGAGTGCACTACCAACCTAACATCACTAAACCCTTCCTCATACTCTTGCACAGTTATATTCGCATAAATGTTACTTTAGTGTCCCATTACCCTTTATAACGCTGAACCGACACTATTAAATTAATAACCACATGAAAAGTCTAGTGTATTACAGCTATGAATTTAAACTTTTCCATAGTTTCTCCTAAAGTACACCTCAATTTCCCAGTTATAATGCATGAGGGTAATGGAAAACACAAACCATGAAAGTAAGATACAGCTATTTACGAGTATAAACCTTGGATGGCACAACACAAACACACAACATGACTTGGAATCTTGGTTGTCAGACTGTGGTCTTGCATACTGTTCTTACAATACTCTTAGTGTTTTGTTTCTGCACCAGACTTTCTAACTCTTCACAAAAAGGGTCAGTGTATTTTTCACATTATGGGATTATGACATAAAATTATCTGCATTAGGACAACATATAAGGGTGGCATCATGACCAATTATATTGTGGCATATTTGCTCCATACAGGTGCTGTTGAACCAAAGGAACAGCCATTGCTAAAATAATACACGCTCACAACAATAGAACAGTAGGGTAATGCAGCCTGTTTCTGAACAGTGGCTTGGTAAACACACCTTGCTGTACATGGGTTAGTAATATTAAAACGGATCTTAGAGAGATAGGATGGGGTGGTACTGACCGCATTGATCTGGCTCAGGATGAGAACCAGTGGAGCAATCTCATGAAAATGTTAAAGAACCTTTTGGTTCCATAAAATGTTGGGAAATTCTTCAGTAACTGTACAACTGGTGGCTTCTCAAGAAGATCTCAGCTCCATGGAGATAGTTAGGTACATATGTCCATTTTAAGAAGAGCATTATTATAGGGTACTTACTACAGGAAAAAATAACGATGGTGAAGACAGAAGTCTAAAATTGCAGGTAACAATTAAATAAGATGAGTACCAGAAATCAGACTTCAAAGATATTAACTTCAGGTACTTCATGTGATAGTGGTTGTGGAGGAGGGACATATGTATCCCCAAGGGGGTACAAGAAGCCTCATAAGGGGACAGTAAGATATATTTTATACATTGTCCAACATAGGCTATAAGTGCTTGAAATCTATCCTGACAACTTTCTTGTGCACAACTTTTACTATGTATGGAACAGATCTAGATAAAATGTGTTGGAAATTACGACAAAATTGTATATTTTCTTTTACTAACATATGATAACATACAGTTTGAGATTATAGGTCACCAATGAAAAGTGGGTATATAATATCCCACTCTGAGGCCAAGGTATATGTCATACAAAGAAGTTCAAACCCATTGATTTGTTTCATGCCATCAGCTGAAGAGAAACAAGATAAAAGTAGTATAATATTAAAATAAAATCTACAGACATGTACATACAAAGATTATATGCACCTGTATACTAATTTATTGGAATATTGAATCATCTCACATCACCTATATGAACAGTCCCTTCCTATTTGCTAGTCATCAGAACACAGAACTTGACATGAATTTATATGTCACACATTCATAATGAGCAAAGACTCTATATTTCTTAATGCTTTCTCCCACTGTTTTTTTTTCCAGCACAGATGTTGAACAGTAAATGGCATCTTTAGTATTAAACACATTATGATCCATAAGCGAAAATTTTCTATTTCTTGTGTTATGTAACGGAAAGTAGGCTGGTAGAGAGAAATTAGAATGGTTTCTTTCATGGAAAAATGCCTGGCGAATAGAATATGATACGTGAACTGAGCAAATATTTGTTCTTTTCATATAAAAAGAATTCACTATGTATGTAATATCTTCATAAAACAAGGTAAAAGAATGCATAAACTGACAACCAAGATTTACTGTGGGATACAGTAGCAACCACTTTCATTTTCAAAAATCTATCACCTATCTATATGGGTATACTGTGCATTTTTCATTAAATATGAAGTTCTGATGCACAATTATAGAGGCAATATATTGTTAACTGATCCTTAGAAAAATGGAGCAATCCTTCAAATAAAAAATCACTTCTAGAAAAAAAGGCTGTGGCAATGAAAGCCAAATAAGCAATGTCACTCACCCACTCCTGGCAGAGCTTTATATTTAATTAGCATGATTAACTGAGTCTTATTCAATGAAAAAATGTAAATGCTATTTGCTCATCAATTAACTTCACTTCCATTTAACCTGTAAATTATATAATTATTGAAGCAAATTTTAATACAAATACCTAACCATCATAGTTAAAGGTAAAAAAAAATGTACAGCTATCCCTTTAACAGGCTGTGGTGGCCCACAGGGTTGTGATATGTCGAAGCTCCCACATTTTTTTCTAGACAATCAGCTCACAAATGGAGGTGAGGTTGTCAGCATTATGTTTCAGCCACCCCTTACCCCCAGGAAGTGTCTTGGTATTCATTTCTGTTAGAGGCTGAGTCAATCCAGGGCAATAGTGCAGCTGGAAGGATTAGGTCAACTGAAAAACCCAATGACATCAAGAATCAAACCCATGACCTTCTGGATTGTAGCAAAGTGCCCACCAACTACACTACCGTGTGTTCCCAAATCATCTTAGTTACGTCCATTACTGTGCAGTCTGAGTAAATAATTATTATGAAGATCATATCTATCACAAAAATACAAGAAAATATTAAATTATCGTTAAGTAAATTATATAGATGCATGTAAGATTTGAGGCTTTCACGGTGGTGACTATGAAGAGAGCAGTCTTCTGGGATGCGGCGTCATGTAGATACTGTGTTGACCGACGTTTCGGAGGAACGTATGGCCTCCATCTTCAGCGTAGAAGAAAAAAGATTAATCCGCAAGCGAAGAACCGGTGTGAGCAGGTGAAAATAGACTAATGTCGAGAATAAACCCAGCTGCATAGAGCAGGAAGGGAAGAGAGGGGGGGCAACATGGGAAATCGTAGGGAGGAGAGGGGAAGGGTCTGGGCAGGTTGGGCCAGCAGGTAGCAGGCTAGAGCAAGTATAGGATATTGTGTCTAGGGAGGAAGGCAAGGTTAATGGGAGAGCAAGTTCATACCCGACTCCCATAGCAACCCCCAAGCTTAAGGGTTAATGCCCTCCCATTATCCTTGCCTTTCTTCCCCCACACAATATTCTATACCTGCTCTAGCCTGCTACCTGCTGGCCCAACCTGCCCAGACCCTTCCCCTCTCCTCTCTACTGATTTCCCATGTTGCCCCCCCTCCCTTCCCTTCANGTCTGGGCAGGTTGGGCCAGCAGGTAGCAGGCTAGAGCAAGTATAGGATATTGTGTCTAGGGAGGAAGGCAAGGTTAATGGGAGAGCAAGTTCATACCCGACTCCCATAGCAACCCCCAAGCTTAAGGGTTAATGCCCTCCCATTATCCTTGCCTTTCTTCCCCCACACAATATTCTATACCTGCTCTAGCCTGCTACCTGCTGGCCCAACCTGCCCAGACCCTTCCCCTCTCCTCTCTACTGATTTCCCATGTTGCCCCCCCTCCCTTCCCTTCATGCTCTATACAGCTGAGTGTATTCTCGACATTAGTCTATTTGCACCTGCTCACACCGGTTCTTTGCTTGCGTATTTTCTTCTTTTTTCTTATGCCCTGAAGATGGAGGCGATACGTTCCTCCGAAACGTCGGTTAACACAATATCTACACGACGCCACATCCCAGAATTCTGCTCTCTTATATAAATGTAATTCTCCCATTTAACATCTTATTTTAATATAATTTCACCTATCCTTTGAATATTTAAGAATGGAATCAATATACACAGTCACTCAACAACTGTTCCCCTTATAGACAGTAACTGTTCCGTATTAACTAAATTTATATTTCTTGCCACAGGTAAAATTACATGATATATGTACTAAAATCCTTCCATTTAACTGAAGCTACAACAGAGAATTGAATTATATATTAGATTTTGTCAGTTCTGTTTTATTTTATGAGTGGTTCTTATATAATTTTTGCTGCCGACTACCATGAAATTAAGAGTACATATGTTGTGTACTTGACAAAAAAATGTTCAGCTGATGAAGACTGCCTAATTATAAGGTTCATAATTTGTACACCCAAAGACTTTTGTTAAGGTGCATGAAGTCCAGGAGGTCGAGATGGGCAGGTCATGTATCACGCGTGGGAATACTGAGAGATGCATAAATATTTTTGTCAGAAAACACATAAAGAAGAGACCACCTGAAATATCAAGGCATAGATAGGAGGATAATATTAAATGTATTGAAGAAATAAGGTATGAGGCGTTGCACTGGATTTGTATAGCCAAGACTGGGTCCAGTAATGGACTCTTCTGAACATGGCAATAATCCTTAAAATGAATTTCTTCACCAGATATGTCTACTAGCTTCTCAAGAGGGCTTTTATTCCGTGGAATTAGGTGACTAACTTTCAGTAATAAATAAATTATAGCAGCAGGTACTTTAGTGTTGATGCTGAACTCAAAAGTACAGAGTAACATCGGTATTTTCAAAATACCTCTGGACTGCAAGAATCATATAAACATACATAAGAAAATTAAGATTTAATTTCTGCAATGTCATATCATTTTTTTAAAGGTGAGAGAGTTAAAAATGTGCTGTATATTAATATGCAGTGTTTCATACAGATATGTCAGATTTACCATAGCATGACACATCCGAGATACTGAAATTTACAGATCAATATCTCCTGCTGTAACAGTCAGTTTTCAACTATGTTTTTACTCACACAAAGAGAAGGTACATGTTTCGTTCTCATATAATCATATGTATAAAATATTAAGTTCCCACTGCTTATTATAATATATTGCTTCGTTTCTGTAGTAAGCTATACAGAAAGAATAACAATATAATTTGCAGCCCTACTACAAAGCTTTCTAAAATTTCACTACACCACAAACAAATATGAAAAGCATCATCTAATAGATCCTTTGATTTAGTCTAGAATTTGCTGAAAATTAATGCCCTAGCATTATCCTCATTCAGAAGTCAACTTTATTGAGACCTAAAAGGTTAGGAGTATAGAGAAAAAAGCCTGAACTACACTCAAAGATCACTAAGTTAATATTTTATTTGTACTATGTTTGTGAAGCATTGCCTATAACAAGAAATATAAATTGATTTCATGTAAAAATTATAAACGTCTCTCAGGATGTGGCTTCTGCAAGACCCTAAAAGAAACTGGAACAGAAGAATGAAGCATGTCACCCCTTTCTAATAATTTATGGACCATGAGCTGACATGTGCATGGACAGAACCACTAGCACACCTGCAGAATTCTTCCTTGCAGTCAGTGTGGACCAGTGCACCAGGAGGAAGCAGTGGATACTAACGGAGACATCTTAGCAACATGTTTTTTTCCTCCTTTATAGGTAAGGGAGTCAGTCGCTCAGTCGGTATAGTTCACTTGCAGAATAAAACCACAGAGTTTGTTTTTTTATATAGGTAAGGGAGTTTCAATGTCTACTGTTACATCAGTAATTTTGAGTATTACATCATGACTTTATTAAAGTACAAAACTCAACAAATTAAAAACAAAATGATGTAACTGACAAACAATATAATTTATATGATCCAGAAAACGTGCATTTAATTGGAGTGGTGACTGTTCCGCATCCATTTTCCTTCTGGGTTTGTGGAGGTATCCCCACATATACAAATATTATACTATGGACCATCACTGACTGCAAGTACCCTGAATGCCTCCAGTGAGACAACACCAGCTCAGGACCACTAGCCTTCATCTCCATGTCAAATCTGACATACTCACATTGCAGCATTAAGCAGAGGACTTACCATCAGCTAGCACACCACAAAGTACTAACAGATAAAATGAAATTTCCTTTAAACTATTTTAATTGAGGCAGTATCATTTGCAGTCCAAATATAAAATTGAAAATTCAATGAGACTGGAGATTGAAGAATACAAGATGAACACAGGAAAATACTTATTTCAATATATTACAAAAGTCTACATACAGATGACGTTCAACTTTCACAAACTGTTTCAAGTGTATCAGCGATTTTAGAGCAATAATTTGTATATGCTGAATGGTCTTCATCAACGAAATTACCTACTATTTCTGTGAAAGGTTTTAATAGAACATTTATAAAGAGCATATTCGTGCATCCATCTTCTGAAATGTGGCTCCTTGACCAGTGGCATGCATGTCAACACTGTTTAGCGATGCAAGGAGTTATCTAACCAACAGCATATTATTTATTATACGTGTATTTCAAGTCAAGCATGTTAAAGTTTGTTACTCAAGTTTAAATACAAGCAGTTGGGCAAGAAGCTGTACAAGCTTGGTCATACCTGTGTAGAAATACCACCTCCACATCAACATCCTCACGGTCCTCATGAAGGAAGTCCTTGAGGAAATGTGATACTGACTCATAAGTGATGTGACCACATACCACGATGTGCCTAGGGGAGTCACACACACACAGAAATATTCAGAAGCTTGAGTTGAATTGTATTAATGCATCATCAGAATCTTCAAACTGTCTTTGTGACACACTTTCACTGGATTTGAAGTTATAACACATCATTCTGCAAGTAGCCCTAAAATAATTACATATGCAACTTCTGTAGTATTTGCCAAGATTATCTTTCTCTTTATGTAATAGTTTATGTAAGTTTCGTAACACAACGATATGAACTTAAGATTCAGCTGAAAGTTTGCCACTCAAAGAATTAAATAATGTCTTCCATGGACATGATAATTCTTCAAATCTGCCTGCACTAAAAGATTTAAATTTAATGAAGTAGCTACTTGGATACAAAATCCATGATAAAACCTCCATATTTCTTGAATTTTTGCATTAGGCTAAGCATTCCCTTCAATAAATTAATATAACATTTAATACCACTGAAATGTTAAGGATGCACCTTTGACATTATGAGAAATATCCAAAGTGGATTAGAAAAGTATGACTTTGCATCCTCTTCCAATACAAAATATTTTTAGCCATCACTTTACATCTGTCTGCTGCCCTCTCTCAAAGACTGGAAAATTCAGAAGTTCAGGAAAATTACACAATATAGAACAAGAAACATTATTAAATTAAGAGTATAAAATAGGCACAATGTCCTTCAAAAATTTACAGTAACATTAAACTTACTTTTAATCTGTATATATAATATAAAACACCACCTCCAACATCTTGATCTATAGTGAAGTAATGGAACAACTAAATACAAGTGCACCTAAAAAGTAAGTGAACGTAACTAACGCTGGCCTACCTTAATCTAGAACAAATTCAAGCTAATAATGAGACTGTACTGGAACACACTCAGAGAGAGAGAGAAAAATTACCTCTCCCTTCTCTGTATGCTTATCAGTACTACATTATGGTTCACACATGACATGAAGATACTGCAATACAGTCATCTGCTTACAATCTAGAATTAGTCAAGCAAGTGGTGGTGGATGTTATAATGATTATACAAATAGCTCATGCAGACAAATCTATCTAACTAAGCTTAGTGCAGCCCATTTAGAACGATTGTTTGCTATATGCAAAATGATCTCTCTCACATAACTTACATGCACTCTAGAAATGTTAAAATTCTGGGGCAAATTCAGGAAAAAAAAATAGGGAATGAAGGCTTAAATCACAAAGCAGCATCTTTATATTAAACTACCTGTAAAGTATCATTTCTGAAGTTGGCTTATTAACATGGTATTGTTCATTACCTGAACACCCAAAAGGTGGATTTTGTTCTAGAATTTTTACTTGTAATATACCTACCTACAAATACTTATAAGCAAATAGTGTAAAGTTCTTCTGTATATGGGATTTGCAATTCTCACAGTGGTGGTTACAAAGAGTGCTGTCTTCTGAAACATAACATCATGTAATCTGATGAAAGTCAACTGGCGTTTCAGAGAAACATTTACCTTCATCTTCAGAGTCAAAGAATAAGCTGGGAAAGAAACCAAACTGAAAGAAGGTGGCAGAGCAGGGCAGGGCAGAGGTTGTCACCTGCTTAACTCTCGTTTCTTGTTCGGCTTATTCTTTGACTCTGAAGATGGAGGTGATATGTTCTGTTGAAACATCAGTTGACTTTCAACAGACCACAAGGAATTATATCCCAGAAGACAGTACCCTTCTCTGCATAAATCCATATTTTCATAATATAAATATGAATTCTGTAAGAAAAAATAATAATTAAAATTCAAGTCACTGTCTTTAAACATGTCCCTTTGAAGGAACAGAGTAGATGTACTATTTACTGGGTGTAGTTCGTTGTAAGTGGGCTGCAACACAATGCTATTGCTGCTTTTATGACAGATGCCGACAAAATGGAAATGTCAAAGTCCAGAACAACTAAAATCATTCATAAAGCTACCACAGCCATCCACAGCTTAACTAGCTACAGTTTGCCCACTTCTGCATTGGGTGCAATTTGTCATTTTGTTTATTGTTTACTGCAGTAGTAGTGGTAATAGTTATCCAATACAGAAATAAACTATGGACCAGTTTGAGAATACAAAGCACCTCCAACAGACACACTCTCCCGAGAAAGTAACTTTTCATCACACTCTTTCCATCAAAACAACAATTTAACCTACATGCTTATGAAATAAAGAGAGTAATTTAATGATCTCTTTCAGAAGCCCTACTCATCTTAATAGCAATAATCAGTCAACAGATACAAAACACTTAATTACTTCTTTATAAAACAGAAATAACATTTAACTTCTCTTTTCCAATTTCTGACAGATACAAATATATTTTATTGAAACTTTATTTAGAAAATTGGATTGATTTAAAGATATTTCCCAATATATCTACCCTACATTGAACAAATGCACATACTACTTTCACCTAATTGGGAGCAAGTGCAAACTGCCTATAAAATTCAGGATATTGAAAGGATTTTGTTCACAAGCAATTTCTTCCTAGAATTTCATGTTTCAGATGGACTGACATTTCTGAGCTTTGTTGCAGTAAGACTGATATCTGAAGGGAGAATGAGAGGTAAGTGTGTTAGAAATCTATTTTTAACAACTTGACCACTTCCTTCAATTTTAAATCAAATGGTATTAAATATTACATAAAAGTGAATTATAATGGCATGCAAATGAATGTGAAAATATTAAAAAATTTAATAAAACCATATATCAACATCAAAGTGACTGATAACTTATGACCTCATCAAAATAAGAACAGATTTAAACACGATGAAATTCATTCCACACAACAGCAATTATAGGTCTATTTAAAATAATTTTCACGAGTTTTCTTTGATTTAACTTTAAATATATATTAAATATCCTTGAATTGCTTGTGAAATACATTCAAGAATAAAAGTAAATCAGGAGAAAATTGATATTTGTTGGAATTTTCATAATATGTGTGACGATTCTAACTCCAGGCCCTTAACCATGTTTTCTATTAAATTTTTACTGACAAGGATCAATTATATGTATAAAGTTCTTCAAGAGGTCAGCTTAATAGACAGAACTGTCAGCAGCTCAACATTTCAATGTGAAATTACTCAGCCATCTCTTCACAGAATTGTCACCTACTTGAATTCCTTCTTCTCTTACCAAAAATAGAAGAAAGTGATAAGGTTCAAGAAAGCTGACAGAAATAAGGTCCAATTAACAGGAAAACTAAACTACAAACTGGTTAATTATCAGTATATTGTAACATGTTGAAGAATGACTGTATTCTTCCTTTTTGGTTTTCTCTTCAGGCATAGAACTTGCTGACATCTCCCAATTGAAAGAGAAAACATACAGTTGGTGGTTGTGATGTCATGTGTACATAACAACTAAAAGTGTTATTGCTTGGGCTCAAATCTCACCTTCTGCCACGCTCGTTCTTGAGGGTCCCTCCATACTTGGGCCTAGTCCCGATCAGATCAATAATCTCGGGAATACAACTTGCAAAAATGGCCTACACGCACAAGAAGACGAGAACCATGGATGATGATGAAGGCAGATGGACGACGGACAAGCAGGCGAGGGCACCATGATGGATGATGGTTGAGGGAAACGAGAAAAAACAGAGACACAAGAAAACACTTACTGAAATTCAAATCTCATAGGTAGTATATAAGAGGCATTGGGAAAGAAAGGAAGAAGGGAATAATGCCTGAAAGCATCAGATTCATCCTGCATGTTAACTTCAAATAAATATTGCACAGATGCATCTAATTCAGACTTGTTATATATTATTAGTACAATGACTTCAATATAATTTGCAGCTGACTGCACTGAAACAGTGCCCCGAATTAACTACTGTTCACATTTATGTATTCTAAGAGAAACATCATGAGCACTTAATTCATTTTTTAGAGTGGCAACCAAAATTACATTTTAACTGATTTGTTTACACATCACTATATTAAGACTGTCATCACACTCACTGAGACTAGTGTGCTGGGACACATACCTTTATAACACTCCATTGGCTGAACTTCCTACCTGATGCAATAAGCTCTTAACTAAGCATTATTTTTTGGATGTGTCCCAAATTTTCCCTAATGTATTAACCCTCAACTCTCCATTACAAATTTAACTCTTGAATTCTGAATATTACAGAAAAAATATTAAAATAAAATAAGACTGGACTTGCTGAATCGAAGGATAGTGATTCAAGACAAGTCTTTATGCCTTTGAAGTTCACAGAAATAAGTTCATTTTCGCAGAATTGTTTTCATATTAGACAAGGATTATANACACTTAGTTTTATGATAATGGAATTATTATTATTATTGTTATTATTATCATTTATTAGCTTGTTTGTTTACTTTTCTTCATAAATTGCCTGTAACTTATTTTTGACATATAATGTGTTTGTCTAATGTTTGTATAATTTACACGTAATTACTTTCATCTACAATGTGCTAAGTCTGTAATTGGCCTTGCGGCTGTTGACTTGGCACATAAATAATAAAGAATTGAATTGAATTGAATTGAATTATTATTATTATGGGGTGAGACTGAGTTCACTTGGTACTGTGGCCACCACTGGCCTGTTGTACCAGCCCCAGGTGATAGATGATGGTGAGTGTGGAGCAATTGGTGGAATGAGGATTTGCAGGGGAAACCAAAGTAGTCAGAGAAAACCTGTCCCAGCGCCACTTTGTCCACCACAAATCCCACATGATCAGACCCTGGCTCGAACCCAGGCTACCGTGGTGGGAAGCCAATAACTACCCAGTTGAGCTAGGTCTTACAGACATTCAGCCAGATCAACAAATATACTTACTCTGAATATTTCTAAACATGTCCCTAATTACTTTAATCATTCCAAATAAATAACTATGACAATAATTAATTTGTGACTGAAACCGAGAATTCATATACCACATCAAATCTTGATGTACTACTGAAATTATGCAGATAATATTGACCATAATGTCATTGCTTACATCAAATAAACAGATACGTATTTAACTCTACCTCACTGTCCCCATGTTGTCTCAACCTCTGGTGGTACAAATTTATTTAGCCCCTATAAAAAGGAAACTGCAACTGCATTATGGTTAAGAAATTTCTTGAACACACATAATGAAATTCATGCTTTCAGG